TCCAACATGTTTTTAGTTTTATTTTTGTGGCTAACTGACAGATTGTGGAGAAAATGAAGCACGCACATCCAGTTTCCTCACAAGGAAAAGGAAACTTAAACTTTGATTCAGAAAACTGAAAAGCGAAACTCCAGTCGTGTGTCATCAACCACAGCCTCCCCTCCCCTCCCCCACTCTATTGCCCTCCTCACAAAGGAAGCCTGAGGGGAGGGTGGTGCCCCACAGCACCCTGGGAGCCAGCACCCTGTGCAGTGGGCTGCCCTAGCTAGGCACACTCACAGCCACTTTCCTTTCCTCTCAGACTGACTCCAGATCTGATTTACCTTAGCAGAGTGGTGTGGAGTTTTACAAAACATTGGCTCTGCACAATTTGACAATAAGCTAGGAAAGTTACAAATATATGTAATACTTTAAGAAGATGGACTATCTCACATCAGATGCAAAATACACTTAGGTATTTTTTTGTTGTGTTGTTTTGTTTTTTGATACAGGGTCTCAGTGTGTAATCTTGCCTGGCCTGGAATTCACTACATAGACTAGGCTGGCTTAAAACTCACAGAATTTGTTGCCTCTGCCTCCCTGCTGCTGAGATTAAAGAGGTGTGCCACCATATCTGGCCAGGTCCTTTTTTTTTTTTTTTTTTTTTTCTGAGACAGGGTCTAACCCTGTAAACCAAGCTGGCCTCCAAATTTTTAAAAATATATTATTATTTTATGTATATGAATGTTTTGGCTCATGTCAATCTATACATGCATTAATTCTCATAAAATGTTAATATTTTGGATTTAATGAAGTCAAGGAATTAGAGCACTACATTTTATTAAATTAAAACATTTTTTCAAGGTCAGTGAGATGGCTCAGTAGATAAGGGCACTTGCTACTAACCCTGAAAATCTGAGTTCAGTCCTCAAGACCCACACAGTAGAAGGAAAAAAACTAACTTTTATGAGATATCCTCTGATTTCCACAGGCACAAACACACACATAAATAAATAAATGTCATAAAAATAAATGTTACTGGTTATCTTTTAAATTTCCTAATGATGCTATTAGAGATTACAAAGTAGTTTTTAGCTGTCCCAAGTTTCTATTGGATAGCCCTGCTGCAAACCAGGAATCATTTTGATTTTCCCATCCAATCACTTTTCTCACAGTGCCAGGGACCAAACAAGAGCATTCTGCATGGTAGGAGTTGAGGCAAGCCCTCTACCATGAGCTACACCCCTCAGTCCTGGTTTCATCCTGGTTTCTGAGACAAAGTTTCACTATGGAACTCCGGGTGGCTTTTATGTCACTGTTCAGCTAGCCTCAAACTCTCAACCCTCCTGCCTCCTCCACTGTTGGCATGACCGGCTGCCCATCAGAACCCACCCCCAGCTCTCCTCCGCAGGCTGTCTCTCCTGTCATTCACGCTGCAGCTAAGGAGGACTTTTTTCTTTTGTTGGTTTTTGAAGACAGGGTTTCTCTGTGTAGCCCTGCCTGTTCTGAAACTCACTCTGTAGACCAAGGCTGGCCTTGAACTCAGAGATCAGCCTGTCTCTGTCTCCTGAGTGCTAGGATTAAAGGTGTGTGCCACCACTGCCAGGAAAGGAGATCCTTCTTAATTGAAAAACATAAGCCATCCCCAGGTGGGCTTCTCATTTTCACTGGGTAGAAACCCTGCTTACCTCTGTGGTTGGTAGGGGGATTCCTGGGCCTGGCCTCCAGTTGTGGCCTTCTGTCTTCCATGTCTGAGCTCCAGGAATTCTTCCACATTCACCTGACTTAAGTTATCTGTAACTGCACAGGCTGAGAGTTACCGGTGCCCCTCAAACATAGCAAACACCCAAACACCGTAAGCCAGCTTTTCTGCCTTTACAGGTTAGTGATTTATTAACTAAGAAGATAGTAAGTGCAGATTGAATCATGGGCACAAGCACTCAACCTGGTGGATTTCCAACGATGATATAAACTAAGTTCACAATTTAGGCAATTCCAAGAGATCCAACTGCCCATTCCTGGACTCCTGTACCTGGTTGGGGACAGAGTGTCATTAACTCCCAAACTACTGTTTGGTTTGCCTTCAGCCAAGTTACTTAATCCATTGCTTAGGTTTCGTTTCCTTTCTTACCAAATGATTGTTAGGGCAAAAGTGTCAGTTCACCAGCTAGCCACAGTGTGCATGCCCATCATCTCAGCTCAGCTCCTGGGAGGTGGAGGCAGGTGCATCAGGAACTTAAGAGCACTTGAGAAGTAGAAGCAGGAAGATCAGAAATTCAAAAGCAGCCTCCGCTGAGTCTGAGGCCCATGTGGACTATATTATGTGAGACAGTGCTTCAACAAACTACCTGAGTACCCACCACCCTACCTGGCAGTCTTTTTTTTTTTTTTTTTTTTTCCTTTTTTTCCAGACAGGGTTTCTCTGTGTAGCCTTGGCTGTCCGGGTACTCTGTAGACCAGGCTGGCCTTAAACTCACAGAGATCTGCCTGCCTCTGCCTCTGTGGGCTGGCATTAAAGGCGTGCACCACCACACCCGGCTTCCTACTTGGCATTCTTATGACACAGCCATCTACAGGGTCCTGCTCCCTACAGCTTGAAAGTAAGTGAGCTATTAGTGCTATTTCCTCGGGACCAGCCAGAAGTCAGCAGTTCTCGCCTTTCTTCCATCTTGATAATTTCTGATGCTGGGTAAAGAGGAAGCCCCTTCAGGGAACTTCTCGATATAACTCATGCATATCATGTGGGTGCAGGGGGGGTGGGGTGGCGGTGACTCAGTTCTTAGCAAAAGGATTTTTGAGACTGTCCTCACAGTTTTAAAATATTCATAGTTGGAAACTGTGAATAGATTTGGAATTGTATGAGAGGTAGCTTTTATTCTTATCAGAAAAAAGAGTCCCTTTTCTTCCCGCTGGGAATATTTTTGTGGTGTCTTTTCTTCTCATCTTACCAAACCCTGTTCTCAAACTGCAGGCTCAATGGTTAGTGTTCGTTTTTTAATTTTTCTGAGAAGAAAATTCCTTCTTCTTCATTTTGAAAAATACTAAAATAGAATGCCAGCAGTTTGGGAGTGTTAAAAAAAAAAAGGAAGAAGAAAGTGCTAGAACGGGAGATGCACACAGGAGAGGGGAAGGCTTTGTTTAGCCTTCTGAGGGAATCAAGGCAGGGAGGGTGGGAAGGAGATCAGCAATGGTTAAGCTGTTGCCAGGATAAAAATTGGAGAGCGGTAATTACGGGGTGGATGAAAGAGGTGGAGCAAGAGGTGGCAGCTGGGCGGTTTCAAGTCCTCAGAGAAGTCACCACACACTCATCCCTTAGAGCAAGCTGGGGGAGATGTGGGGGCTTCTACAAGTGGGGCAGAGCTTAGGGATGGAGAGCCCAGGGTGTTCTGCAGATGCTGGATGACTGAGGCCAAAGGAATGAAGCCAGAGGCAAGGGGTGTTTGTGGCAGAAGTGGGGACATGGAGAGGGATGAGGAATGGAGATGGTGAGGCTCCAGAGGCCGGCATCACAAGCAGGATGGGGACTGTGGGGATGCAGGGGAGACTACTGATGATGAGTTGAGGGGGTGCTGAAGAAGGCTCCTAGGGGTGACAGGGTGCTGAGATGAAGGGGCACTGTGTGTGGGGGTGATCAGGGTGGTGACAGGTAGGCTGACGAGAAGGAGAGGGGGGGCAATGGCAGAGCTGCTGGGTGGTGGGGGAGGAGACAGGAACCCTGGGGAATGATGGTGAGCTGACGGGAAGGAGCAGGGATTCAGGGGTGATGGGGCTGCTGATAACAATACTGAGGACTGAGGGTGATGGAGGAGCGAAGGAGCTGGGAGGACTCTGTGGGTGGTAAGGACAGTGGAAAACAACTCGAGGGTGATGGCAGCTGAGGGTGCACTGAGGAGAAACGACAGGTACTCCGGGGATGACGGAGAGCTAAGGGAGCAGACAGGGAGGGACTCCTGGGCTGTCAGGCGCAGACAGGGACTTGGGGGGTGATGGGGGCGCTGAAGGAAGGGGGCAGGGGCTCCGGGGGCCGTAGGGGAACTGAGGGAGCAGACAGGGACTCCGGGGGGCTGTAAGGAGCAGACAGGGACTTCGGGGATGATGGGGGCGCTGAAGGAAGGGGGCAGGGGCTCCGGGGGCTATAGGAGAACCTAGGGAAACTGAGGAAAGGGAACAGGGACTCTGGGGACTATAAAGGAACGCAGGGAAGGGGGCAGAGACTCCGAGGGCTACAGGAGAAATGACAGCAGGGGACAGAGACCCCGAGGGCTATAGGAGAACTGAGGGAAGAGGACAGGGATTCTGGGGACTCCAGGGAAACTGAGGGATGGGGTCAGGGTCTCCAGGGGCGCTGAGCGGGGCAGACAGGGACTCCGGGGCTAACCTGACACCTGGCCGGAGGCAGAGCGGGGCGCCGGCGATCGCGGCGCCGCAGGAGCAGGTGCGGGATGGGGCAGAGGCCACTCACCGATTCGGGCGCGTCCTCGGCCGGGAGAGCGCTCAGCTTCGGCCCTGGCAGGTCGCGGCCCCGCCCGGCGCCGCGCACTTTCGTTTTCCAGTCCCCGCAGCCCCTGGGCGGGGCGAGGAGCCGGGTGGGCGGCCCGGAG